CATTTTTGCAGGGTCTTCGGCTCAGTCCATCGGCATTACCATGAGATTTTCCTTCTGTATATTCAATATTATAATTATACTAGTCTATTTTTCCGATCCAGTGTGCTAGTTGTCCCTCTGGGTTCTTTAATGATCTTAACCAGCATAACGCAGCATGGTCTGTCCTTGATGGTAAACCTTGCACCATAGAGGTAAGGATGGAAATATGTCAGACTCTTTACTATAGCAAGGAGTTCCCTCCGTGTTACACAGTAGTTTCTCTCTGGTCTACTCGAAACCCTACTGAAGTAGGCCACCACATGTTCGTTTTCGCCCACTTTCTGAGACAACACTCCTCCAATTCCGACATTACTAGCGTCACAATCCAGTATGTGATGTGTTTGACCCTCTGTGTGTCAGTAGTGGATATAGGGGGTTTCAGGGTTTGAACCCCACCCTTTTCAATGCGAAGTGTCCTCAATATGTAACATATTTTTCACCGTTTTGGGATTTTCTAAAATCTGAGAAAAATAATCATTATTAGAATTTTTAAAAACACCTCGTTGTATAAATTTAATTACGTCATTTTTCCTTTGAGAGGAAATCCTACACTTTTTTATATATTTCATATAGCATGAATTCAATTCCTCTGTCAGGGCTATGTTATAGCATGGATTCAATATACACCGAACAGGACCATGTCCATTTATGTACAACGTTCATCATTCACACTGCGTTGCACTCGCTTCTAAGTAGTCCATATATTCAAATGTCGTTTTTATTTCGTAACTTATACTAGGTGTATTTACATAAATACCCTTTTAATATACTATTTTATAAACCACAATAATGATATATTAGGTAGGTCTAGCAATATGTGGCAGATTACTAAACTTATGATACATGTTAATGGGTGAGAGGTACTTAGGCTCATTCCCATCATGTATCATATAGCGATGTCGTGCGCGTAGCATTTCATTTTTGTGTAGATTTTTCTTAAAGTAACTGAAAGATATGTTTATAAGTCTGTCGTAAAGAGATTGAATGTTTGTATATTTATGTAAAAAAGTGAGAGTTTCTTGATCATGGTACTTTATATGCGCTTGTGAGTATTGTATTTTGTTGTTTTTGTAGTTTCGTTTTAATTTTCTTAGGTGCTGCATTGATCCAAGCAGGACAGGCGTATTCGATTACTGGTTGTATGTATTGTTTATATATTTTAATATGTTGCTTGGTGTGGTACCTGTATTGTTTCCTGACAGACTTCTAACTTGATTTATTCTTCGCCAGATTTTGTTAGAAATTTCATTTACGTGTTTTTGCCAAGTTAATTTAGTATGGTACGTTAGACCAAGTAATTTTGCTGATGTAGCTGCAAGTACTAGAATTTGTTTTTGGTATATTAATTTATATTCGTTTTTTTAAGCAGTATTCGGCGATAGCATTTAGAGATGGTTTTAGATTTGTGGCCGCGATTGATGGTGTTTGTGAACTCTTCCAGATAATTACATCATCTGCAAATTGTGAGGTGAAGCAAGAATTAGGCTCGTCTAGTGGCATGTCGCTTATATACATGATGAAGAAAATGGAGCTAACTACCCCTCCTTGAGGTATTCCTGCCTCCGCAATAAAATACTCAGAGTAGCATTTACCCAACCTTTTCTATTACTTATGAAGTTTGATAACCAACGAATAATTCCTCGCGGTAGTTCCATCTCTAATAGCTGGAACCTTAGGCCTGAGTGCCAGATTGTCTCGAAAGCCTTCTCTAAATTGAGAAGGCAAACAACTGTGCACTCTCTTTTATTAAAACTATCTATAGCGGTTTCCGTTAATCAAACTAAATGATTTGCTGTTTGTCGAAATTTTCTGAAACCGTTTTGCACATCAGATAATTTTGAATTGCTTTCTAGGAAGTTATTTAATCTATCACTTACTATTCTTTCTGAAATTTTTCATACGCAGCTGGTTAGGCTGATGGGTTTATAGCTACATGGCTTATTTGCTCGTTTCCCTTCCTTTAAAAACATGAGAATATTTGTTCTCTTCCAAGAGACGGGGATGTATCCTGATGTCAGGGAGAGGTTGAAAAGTGCCTTGTGTGTTCAAGTAATAAATGAGTTCCGTTTTTGAGTACAATAACTTGAATGCCGTCTGCTTCTGGTGCCTTGTTTTTGGTGTGTTTTATAGCTATAGATATTTGTGTCGTTGTGATTTCACTTGTCATGTATTCATCCAGAGCGTTGTTTGTTATTCATACATGTAGTGGAGCAGCTATAGTTGCAAATTTCTTCACAAACTTCCGGTAATAGGTACAGAGTCCCAAGAAACTTCTTAACTCTCCCA